ATCACAGCACAGACACAAATATGGCAGATGCACGAAGACAACAGAGGCACAAACACAGTAGAGGCAGATGCACGAACACAGTAGAGGCACGTAGTAAAGGCACGAACACGACAGAGCACAAGACACAAACACAGTAGAGGCAGATGCACGAACACAGTAGAGGCACAAACACGATAGAACACACAGCGGAACACGCCAAAGGCACAGACACAAGAACCCTAAAAGAAATTAGGGCACACAGTAGAACACGGGTGGGCACAACACACACAGGTCACCAGAAAGTCGGCTCTGATACCAAGTCAAACAATATGGGTAGAATATTTTCAGATATATTTCATTCTCCGAAAGGAGGCATTTATAATACAGGTTACAAACCCTAGTAGAGTTTAATTAGGAAATAAGTGGAATCCTAATTACATAATATCTACACAAAAGGAAAAATAAATAAAACCCAAATATAATAGGATATGCTCTACTCGCCAACAAGTAATTGGAGTAGAACAACTTTGAAGAAGCGAGAACCACACAGACTTCTTAAAGGAACTGTTACACGAATCTTTATCCCAAAAGTTAAAGGAGGCTTATCTGTAATGGAGGGGCAGCTTCTGCCTTTCATGATTTCAAGAGCCATTATCTTTTGACTAATTTTCCACTTTTGTAAGCAAAATACACCACACAGACCGAAATTAAAGATGGGCATCATTGACACTTGCACTTTTCCACAACCTGTTTTATTTAGGAAAATGCTAGACTTACCACATTTTTCATACCACATTGTATACCACCTCTCTAATAGAGGTGGGCCTCATTGTATTGGTAGGCTCCACCTCTATTAGAGATGTGGTATACAATGTGGTATGAAAAATGTGATAAGCCTAGCATTACCCTTTTATTTATTACATTATCTTCTTATTTGCTTTTTTTACTACACCCCTTTATCCACGCACCCCAGCCCCAGCCCCTTTCCCTCCTCTAGCCCCTGAAATCTCTCTCTCTTTCTCTCTCTTTCATTTTTTTTTTTTGGTGCAAAGGAGGGCTAACGCCCAAACAAAGAAACAGCAACTGTAAGGGAATTAAACGAGGACTAGCCACATTGCTAGTATCAGCAGCAAGGACAGTACTAAGAAAGGCAGGCTCCGAGTAAAAAATATGAGGTCCAAGAGGGAGATCATAGCTTTTGGTAGCCAGAAGATCAGCAGCACGATTTTGCTCACGGTAGATATGGGTAAGAGAGCAAGTCCAGTCATCATGAAGCTTCAGATGACAGCAGTTTAGAAGACTAAAAAGAGGATGATCATACATAGGAGCATTCTGAAGGAGGGCCACCACAGAGCTAGCATCACATTCAACTTCCACAACTCTGAAACCCATATTCCAAGCCAACTTGAGGCCCCAAAAAACACCCCACAGTTCAGCCTCTAGGATTGTCCCAACCCCAAGATTCACAGAAAAACCATTTAACCACTTGCCAGTGGAGTCTCTCAAGATACCACCAGCACCAATACAACCCGTTTCAGTTTTCCTGCTACCATCAGTATTGATTTTACAGATCCCATGCCTGGGAGCAATCCAATGTAACTGAATCAGACGCATCACAACAGAATCAGGAGTATGATTACAAACAGTAAACCAGTCCATAGCATAATTCAAAATTATTTGACGAGAGTTAGGCGGAGTCGAAAAATTCTGTTCAAAGACCACCTTACAACGCCATTTCCAAACAAACCAAATATAAACTGTGAAGACCAACGACCAAGGAATACTATGAAAGGTTCTGTGGGATTTTAAGTTTTTAAGAAGCCAAGAATCAAAGTCAACCATTGGGAAATTAGGAGCCTCAACATCCTCCCAAAAATCCTTCCCAATTAATTGAGTAGTAGTGCAATCAATAAACAGATGATCAAGGGATTCCACATGAGAGGAGCACCTCGGACAGGAAGTGTCCTGACCAATCCCCCTCTTCTGTCTTTGAACATTGGTAAGAAGTTTCTTATGACAAAGAACCCAAAGGAAGGTTTTAATTCTAATAGGAATGTGAAGCTTCCAAATAAAGTTCCAAGACCACGTCAAAGGATCATCATTAATGGTGGAAATGTCATAGGCTGTTTTAACAGAAAACTTACCATTAGTAGTGAGATTCCAGATGCATCTATCAGGACCACTGTCTTGAAAACCAGCATGCACACAAAGGATCAAGTGGACAATATGAGCAGGCAGACGCTCCAGTAAGCAATTAACATTCCATGTGTTGTCTGCAAAAAAGTCACTAACCTTAAGAAGGAGCATATCTTCAGAAATGTCAATAGTAGCATATTGGATCAAAGGCCCACAGCTAAGCCAATTATCAGTCCAGAATCTGATAGTATCACCAGAACCCACCCTCCATTTGGTACCATGAGGAATAATCTGAGCACCAAAGAGGATACCGCTCCACGCACTAGCTCCCTCTTTCATTTTGACCTGAGTAATATTTCATAAAAAAACATAAGCAAAGGACCCGTTACAGATTTCTTACTTTTTATCTACCTTATTTCCCATCTCAGTTGGGTAGATTTAAACCTAAAGTGATGAAGAAACTGATATCTGCTAAATTCAACAATCATAAAATGGTAATTAATAAGAGGGAGAAAGATGAAGAGAGAGAACTAGCAAAAAAAAGTGACCAAATTCACAAACATCAAACTCAGTAGCCATTATCTAATCAACAACCCGTTGGAAATTTCAGAGGGGCTTGGCAATATGCTATCAAATTCGTTTGATAAGGGAGAGAGAGACGAACGCAAACTCAAGGGAGCAAGCAAGACATCAGAAACTTCTGTAAAAGAAAACGACATGGTTTTGTTTTTCAGAGAAAAAAAACGACATGATTTTAATTAGCGTGTTAATGTTTTTTTTTATTTAAAGAAATTATTTTCTAACCTTAAAAAGATCCTTTACCACCACAAAAAAAAAAAAAAAAAAACCCTTAAAAAGATCCAAAAATACCCCGAAAAGTAGGATTTTTTTTTTTTTTTTTTGGAATTGATGCTTTATTAAAAATAATAAGCACCATAAGAGTTTACAAAAGATAGCATTGAAAATAGCAAATACTATCCAAAACCCAAACATGAGAGACATGAACAAATGTATAAAAACTTAATAGTAGCTTACTAATATTACTATGGCCCCTTCATTGAGGGATAACAAAACCCAATGGGGGAGGAGAGTTTCACTTTCTCACCTACTTTCTTATGTGCTAGCCAATTATTTTCCATGTCCAAATTTACCAAACATGGGTTGATTTTCCACCCCCAACCCAAGCCTCCTTCCCAAACCAAATCAATGGATGAGGAAGCAAATAGATTATGCCAAACAAAGTAAACATTTTGTACTGAGTCATGCTGACTAATAGGCCTCGTGAAGTAAATTTTGAGCAAAGAAAAGAAAACCCATTAAGGGAAGACATTTCAATTGGCAAAAAAATAAAACCGAAATAAGTTACTAAATAACTTATGTTCAGTTCACTTTTATGAAAATTGAAATTAGTAAAGAACAAGTTTTCAGTTTTTAGTTTTTAACAAATGAAAACTGAAAATTGATAATTGAAATGGTTATCAAACGGGCCATAAACATTTCAAACTTAGTTATGTCTATTTGATTCCGAAGGTCCATTAATTTAATTTCAAGTATGGTGTTAGGCCATCCCCAATAGTAAAAAGGATTTATAGAGCCCCATTTAGAGCTCCGATGGAATCTTTGGGGCTCTAAAGGAATCTCTCCCATAATGGGAGGCTCTATATTTGGGGATCCATTTATGTATACACTGGCCTTGGTTGCTTGCATTTGCTCTGCATCCTCAAGCGCACGCAGCTTGAATAGCTTTGAGATTGGCAACGAATTGTTCAACTTGTTTCTTCACGTTGAAAACAAGTTACCTCTTCTTCTATGAATTAGTTGTTGAAGGCAAGGTTAACGATATTAACAACTTTTCTAGCTTAAGAACACACACCAAATCAAAGTTACCCAAGGCAAACAAAACACACACCTTCTAGAGGAACAGCAAAAAACTGGGAACTGATACACAATAAAACAAGAGAAAGCCAAGGTAAATTGCAAACCCAAATTCACCAGTTCGTCATAGTACATTTTACGAATTAATGACACAAAGGAAGTTTTGCAAATGATCAATACACCACTAGATATAAGGTGTTCACAAAGTTTCTGCTTACAAAACAGAAAAAATCAGGGCAATCATCAAGCTCAGTTGACTTTCCAAATTCACCATGTCTCTGTCAAGGCAGTGATGGAAATAATCAAAATTTCAGTTATTGGAACTTCCGTAGGCTGACATTTGATGATTTACATCACTCTGCCCTGAAATGATGACACATACGTAGTTGATCAATTAATTTGCTCCTTGCAATCATTTCTCAATTCCCGAATTAAATTTTTTGAGAAACAACTAAAGCTAATACTTGCAGATTAAACAAAACAACAAACCTCGTGTGGCATAACAAGTAAATTAATTTATTAATACTAGCTAATTGATAATTAACTCTAGAGATTTAACAAAACAAACATCAAAGCACCTAAAACAACTGCCCAACAGGAATGCGAACAATTAGTTTTACTTTTAGTAGAAAATTAAAAAGGAAAGTACCTTTTAAAGAAGATTATCATACTCATCTCAAGATTACCAAAGCCGGCCTCTGAAGATTTTGAAGGAAACAAATAAGATCATAGTTGGAATTGATACATAAGTATGTAAATAAGGGATTGCTAGAGCTCAGTTACCTTCTTTGTATGCGGATGTTTGGGTTCGTAGCAGAAATCTTGGCCCACTCTCCATTTCCTTCTTGGTAACGCTCTGAAAGTCTCTCAGATTCAAGGATGCGAAGAGTCTGCAGTGGTGTTTTGAAGACGAAGTCTGGCAGTGCTTTTAGCAATTTGCAATGGTAAATTGTTAACTCAGAAAGGCATGGCATGATTGTAATTTCAGAATCCTCTTTCGTCCACTCTTCCACGCCTTCCCACTCTTCCCACTCTTCCATATGCAAAAAGCTGAGTTGTTTCAATTTTGGGAATAATATCAGGGGTGGTGATCTGATTCTGAATGAGGTTTGATCTTCTAATCCCAAAAATTCAACACCGACCTTTCTCACTCCTTCCATCTCCCATAGGGTCAGTCTTTCAAGGCACTCCAATTTCCCAAGAGGCCAAAGTTCACACTGTGTCCCTTTACCAAGAGCAAGGATTCTCAAATTGTGTAAAGACTGCATCCAATTGGGCCACGTGGTCCCATTATGATCCCAAATCTCTAAAGATTCCAAATCTGGATGCGGTCGTAAGGCATTCAGTATTTTTACACTACTACCACTGTTCGTCTGCCTTCTAAAACCAACGGTGAGATGAAATAGCTTTTTGTCCCACAATTGTGCTTTCTCAACCTCGCTCTTATCTGTCGCATCCCCCACAAGTTGTATTTCCAGACGTCCCTTAAGGTTCAACTTTCTCAGATCCCCAATTTGGAATGCTTCATCGTTGTCGCCACCACACCGACACACATCTAGTGTTTGTAAACTTGTTAATCTCCCTATCCCTTTGGGCAACTCTAGAACTCCACAACTGATAACATAAAAATGCTTTAAGTTAATCAAGTTTCCCATGATTTCAGGCAGTTTTTTAAGTTTGAAGCAAAAACGAAGGCTCAAGGTAGACAAATTGTACAAACCACAAATAGTGTCTGGTAATTTCTCCAAATAAAGATTGTAAGACAAATCAATATGCCTCAAATGTATCAATTCACCAATCTCCTCTGGGAGTTCTTTGATGAAATTACCACTCAAATTTAATGTCCTAAGACATTTCAATTGTAAAATTAAATTTGGGTCTATGGTAGTAATTCTTGAACCAAAAGTTATGAGCGTGCGAAGCTTTTTGCAATTGTAGGATGAGATAGCAAGTGGACCTTCAGGAACATATCTCAAGGTCAAATGACGAACCTTATCACCCAATACCTTCGATTCGTTGGTAGTTTCCTCACCATAATCGATAATCAAACACTCATTCCTGGTGAGAAATTGTACAAAGTCATGCACAATATCATGCATTTTGCAACTTGTAATTGTACCAGTGTCAGAATCTTTCTCAAAATCTTGGAAAAATGATCGTGCCACTAAGTTGTCAAAAACTGCACCACCTGTTGTTCCCTTTTCTTTATTTCCTTTCGAAATAACATAGTCTTGTGCCATCCAAAGGTTAATCAGATCATCTCGTTGAAACTCGTAATCTTTAGGAAAAGTAGCACAATATAAAAGGCAAGATTTAATTGTTGGGGACAAATCATAATAACTTAGGAATAAGGGTTGGAAAACTTCTTGCTCGACCTTCTCTAGAGCCCATATCTTACTATTCAAAACTTCTTTCCATTCTCCCATTTTTGTCTTATTATGCATGAGACTACCTAAAGTCTTTGCAGCAAGAGGCAAACCTTTACACTTCTTTACAATTTCCTTGCTAATATCTCCAAACTCGTGTACATCCCTATCCGAAAAGGCCATGTGATTGAAGATTGACAAACAATATTCATCACTCAACCCTCCCAAATTGATCATGTTTCTTGTTGCTCTCATCATATTAGCAACCACATGTTTTCTTGTGGTCACCAGTATTCTGCTGCCTTTAGCACCACTTTGGATTAATGGTACCTTTAATTTTTCCCACTTTTCACGATCATCGGTCCATACATCATCCAGGACAAGGAGAAACCTTTTGCCCTGGATGGATCTAGACATACATTGCAAGACCTCATCCAATTCATTTGAACTTGGGGCGTAATCGCCACTAATGGCTTTGGCAATCTTAATCCCATCAAAAGGGTCTGAAACACAAACCCATTTCCTCATATCAAAATGGGATTTGACTCGGTCATCATTATAGGCTAGTTGGGTCAGAGTTGTCTTTCCCATGCCTCCCATCCCTACAATAGGGATGAGAAGGAGCCCCTTTTCTTCTTCACTACTATCACCCAACAACTTTGTTATCAAAATATTCTGCTCCTTTTCACGACCAAATATCTCAGACATATTGACATAAGATGCAGTTTGAGGTCGTTGAGGTTGTTGAGGTTGTTGAGGTTGTTGAATTATGCCTAATTCTTTGCGTAGAAATTGGTACCTTATTCTTTCCTCATAAATCTCAGTTAACTTATCATTCAGATTTTTTATTTTCAGAGCAATGTCACGGCGAAGAATCTCCCGACTGTCTTTGCGAAAAGAAAAGAAATCAGAGAAACGTACCTTCTTATTGGGGGGAACAAGATCATTTTGTTCTCTTTCTTGCTTCTCAACTTGTTGTTTGAGAATGTTTGTGTTCCACTCATCCAGCACATCCACCATCTGGTAGGATATATCTTTCAGCTTATCCAACCAGATTTTGACACTTGCCTCCGTCACTTGCCTTTGCTCTACATCCTCAAGCACGGCTTGAATAACTTCCAGAGTCCCAGTGAATTTCTCAACATCTTCCTTCAAGTTCAAAACTTGTTTCACCCCTCCTTCTATGTATTCATAGGTTGCAGAGGCCAAGCGATCTAGCAGCATGGAAATGAGCCCAGCAGCCATTATTTTGAGCTTTAGAAATTGGTTGACAGTGTTTATGATCAAGAAAAATGCAGGATGATTGTTTGTGGTGTTCCCTTTCTTATGCCCAGTTTATATGCTGAGTAAGTCTTCAAGGCAAACTCCAAGTCAATTTCAAGATGCATAACATGGACACTATATTTTAAAGTGACAAGTTGACATATATTCTAATCTGGGGCTGGTACGTTTCTATAGCGAGTAAGTAATCAAGGAAAACTCCAAGTCAACCGGTCCCCCAAAAGAAAAGTATCCAAGCCATTTATATAATGTATCCGAATTTCCAACTCCACGCCAATCACTAAAATAAAGCCGCCCTTGTTTACCGGTGACAACAATTTTTTTGTCCGCCTCTAGATGGAGATATGATGCATATTACTTAATTTTAGTTCTATTGACTATGGGTATTTATTTACTAATTCTAAGTATTAAAATCAAGGATCAAGGTATTACATATGAAATTTCGGAAAGTGATTTACGAATTGGTTTTCAGAAAATGAATTGTAATTGATTGCCGCAGATCCACAAATGCTTTTTCATTTCTCTAATTTCGATTCTACGTTAGTTCTTTGTGCCTCCAATTTTTTAGGGCCCCCAATTTTTTTAAATGTATATGTTATATATATATATGTACATCAATGATTACAGTTTTACCTTGATTTTGTTTTTTGTTTTTTTGTTTTTCTATTGTAACAACAACAATAAAAGAAATAGAAATTCATGTCTCTTCCATCTTAAACTCTTATTTTCTACTAAGTAATAATCATTACCAATCTATCGCTTTGGCTCTTTTTTGCAATCCTTTAATTTTATTTTTTTCCAATATCAAGGATTTCAATATCAAAAATCGAAAACACTAACTCCTAAATTCATAAAAAGACTAAGGAAAAAAATATATCATAAAGGGCACTTCAATAATGTTATGAACTTTTGCCCATCTCCACTTGTGTTCTTCAATTATTTTATGAATCCTTTCTCATCTCCTATTGTCTTGTTTCAATCATGTTCTGAACTATTGCTCAGCTTTGTCCATCTCACTTTATTGGATTCCCTTATCTTTCCCTATCTTTTCCTATCTTCATTCAATTATTTTCTGAACTATTTCCCATCTCTTATTGTCTTGTTTCAATCATGTTCTGAACCATTGCTCATCTTTGTTCATCTCACTTTATTGGATTCCTTTATCTTTCCCTATCTTTTCCTATCTTCATTCAATTATTTTCAAACATGTAGGTCATCTCATTCTCTTCTCTATTTAAGAAGTGTTATTCTACCGAATTGACCACACAATCTCCTTCAATCTCATTCTCCTTCTTACAATGAATTCACGTGGGAAGGGTATACAAAATTTCTTCAATGATGATTCTGATGATGATGACCTTCATCAACAGAGGGTTGCATGTTCATCACCATACGTTTTTGTTGGAGCAATATGCTCAACAATTTTGATGATGATGACCGTCACCATATGTTTTGGGGCCATTCTCAACAAGAATGAAAGGAAGAAAGGAAAAAAAAAATTAGTGGATTATTTACCAAATGAATGGCTATTTATAGAGTTTGGAATAAGTTTTGGGGTTAGATCTGATTTAGATTAATTATAAATATTATTTGGACCCTTGGATTTAAATTTGAGCCGTTGTATGTGAAATTTTACCGTTCAGATTGCCTAATATCAATCAGATGCAAAATATAGCCGTTAGAGTGAAAAAAAGAAAAGAAAAAAAAAAAGCACTTCTTTTGAATTCAGCCGTTGGAATCACCTTTGCTGGAGCTGCCAGCTGTCGCGCACAAATCCGTTGGCTAGATAGCAAAGCTGTCACGCAGGGCCCAACACTTTTTCTTCTTCATATGGGCTTCCAAGCAAAGCTTTAGGCTCCACATAAAAAACCAGTTCAGGCAAAACTTGGACTGGAATTCCACCCCAAATTTGACATTTCTCAAATTTCCACCCTCCAAAATACATGGGTTGAAGAAGAATTTTAGACTCAAAATGAAAATTTGGGTTTCCACCCCAATGGTCCAATGGTTGGAGATGGTCTTAGGAACTCAAAAAAGCCAATAATTCATTGGGCAATTTCCAAGACCATGCCCAAGCACAAAAAATGAGACCAATGCTGCAAGAAAAAAAAAAGGATATTGGACCAAAGGCTTGTTGCACTAAGTTCCATATCCAAGAGACTAATGGGCCTCGTGAAGTATATTTAGAGGAAAGAAAAGAAACCCCATTAAGGGAAGACATTGCATTTGCTCTGCATCCTCAAGCGCGCGCAGCTTGAATAGCTTTGAGATTGCCAACAAATTGTTCAACTTCTTTTTTCACGTTCAAAACAAGTTACCTCTTCTTCTATGAATTAGTTGTTGAAGGCAAGGTTAACGATATTAATGACTTTTCTAGCTTAAGAACACACACCAAATCAAAGTTACCGAAGGCAAACAAAACACACCTTCTAGAGGAACTGCAAAAACTGGGAACTGATACACACAAAGATAAGAGAAAGCCAAGGTAAATTGCAAACCCAAATTCACCAGTTCCTCAGAGTACATTTTACAAATTAATGACACAAAGGAAGTTTTGCAAATGATCAATACACCAGTAGATTAGTTATATATACAGTCGATGTTGCCTGTACCTTAAAAATAAGGTGCTCACGAAGTTTCTGCTTACAAAACAAAAAATAAGGGTACTCATCAATGTTTGTAAATCAAAAGCTCAGTAGACCTTCGAAATTCATCATGTCTCTGTAAGTTCTCAAGGCTGATTTTTGATGAAAATTATCAAAATTTTCAGTTATTGGAACTTCCGTAGGCTGACTTTGATGGTTTACTTACACCCCTCCGTTCGCTTCCATAGTCCCTGAAATGATGAACGGTATTAAAATGAAGGAAAGAGTAGAAAATGCTTGTCCAGTATAGAAATCAATTAATTTGCTTGTTGCAATCATTTCTCTTAGACATTTTTCGATTCAGGAATTAAATTTTTTGAGAAACAACTAAAGCATGCAGATTAAACAAAACAACAAACCTCGTGTGGCATAAGAAGTAAATTAATTTATTAATACTAGATAATTGAAAATTAACTCCAGAGATTTAACAAAACAAACATCAAAGCACCTTTCATACTCATTTGAAAAATCCTCTTCACAGAAAAATTATGATATATGCGAACAATTACTTATAGTTTTAGTAGGAAGAAAAACACACCTTTCTACAATGCACATCCTCTTTATCTTAAAAGAAATGAGACATTTTATAGCAAAGTTAAAATGATGCAGGCCTGCCTGACTCTGACAAGCTTGCCCATTCGCCTGTTTGTACACACAGGTGTGTCAGCTTGTAGCAAATTTTACTAGAAGTAAACATGCTGATTCACTGAAGAAAACAAAGATTTTGAACAAACCAACAAATGAGGTTTTAGCTCAGGATGTCTCCAAGAAAATAAAGAAGACCTGACATTATGCAATGTATTGGGATATAGTAATGGCAATCAGTTTCTCAATTCAGCTTTAGCGGGATCAGTTGAGGGCAAACTTGACCCACTTCTGGAACGTATTAATTCCTTCTTTCCCGTACTTGAATCATCAACTTTAACAGGATTAGATCCACACAAACAAACAGAGAGGGAGAGAGAGAGAGAGAGAGAGAGAGAGAGAGAGAGAGAGAGAGAGAGAGACCTATTGACAGCACAGGAGCTCATTGTTCAGCACATGATGTAGCCAACCCACGGCCTTTATATTCCACATATATGCTGATCAAAATATCAAAGCTGAACAACCAGAGTTCACAGAGCCTTCCATATTAGTCTTACCACCTGGTCTAGAAACATGTTCCAGCATCAGGTTCATTGATTCTTCCAAGTCATTTCTTTTGAATGTTCGTGGTTTGGCAATGTAGTTACAAAAACAAACTCCAAATCACACTTTGTACATCAGACAAGTGGAAAATGTCATAAGTTACTGCTCAAAACTAAATGTGTTTGGTTCCATTGTTGAAAATCAAAACTGTAAGATCCTTACGTTTACCTGACAATTTATTAAAGGATATCAAAATATAAATCTGCACCAACAATGGAAAACTTGAAAAATATGAAGAACTATAAGGAAGCATAAAGCAAGCGCAAAAAGAATTCTGATGATATAAACTGGAAATTTAGATTAATGCCTATGCAAGAAATCGCTTGTTCAAACTTAGATAATTCATTGATTCCCTAAAATATCAGTTAGAAAACACCATGGATGCCCTGGTCCTTTGTTTTTCTTTATAGTAGTACTAATACCACAGTTTGAAAATCCAGCTGTCTAAATTAATAGGCCATGTGGGTTTTTGATGGAATCACATTGAAGTTAGTTGATACATACTTTCCCTGTAGAGCCCAGAAATTATGTTTCATCAGTTTCTCCTCATTTCCAATTAAACTTCTCAATCTTATACAACGGTTTTTTTTTATCACATTCTCTACTTCCCTCGTTAGTCTTCATGAGCTTTATTAACAACATGAAACACTGATTACGTGCCTCTACAAAACTATGTGAGGACTAAAGCAGCATGCCATGTTTATGCTAATACAATTAGAAAGTTGCAGTAAATATGCATAACTCAATCTAAATTGAATGCATTTGCCTCCTAATGAATGGTAAGTTCAAACAAAATTAGGACATGCCCACGAACATTTGCAGACTGGCAGTATAAAAATTACCGTAGTTTAATCTATTCTAGAAATGAAAGATTTGCATGGACTGATGAAGCATGCAGCCGCAGTCCAGGATATATTTCAAACCAGTTATTAAAAAAAGAAAAAATAACAAAGAAAAGAATTTCATCATTCTTCAAAACAAACAAAGCCCTTCCCCAACCAAACCCTACATGCAAACACTAAGATAAAGCTTATATATGATAAATCATTGGCACAAAGAAAGAGAAGGGGAAGAGGGATGGGAATAACTTGCTTATATTACTAACCTTGCAAATCAAAAACTTCATAGAAACAAAGGAAATAAAGAAATAATGGCTAAAAGCCAAGAAGTATACAAACAAATACAGCTATTAACAACAATAATTTACAGAAAATACTATATATCAACTGACTTGCACTTACTCATAATTTGAAGTAAAGTATCTTCCATGGCACAGCAACAAATTTCAATTTGCAGTTTTAAGAGCCATTGTGCTTGTATTTTTCTTTTGTCTTTCCTCAGTTTCCACCATTTGATTGTAGTAGCTTACTATTTTTTTATCCAACTCATAATATTCTTCCATTTTCTTCAACTGTTTCAAATCCAGGTCAATGAAATTCACCTAGGAAAATGAAACTCAAATAAGATATTAATGTCATAAGGAAGGATTTCCCCCACAGGGGATTTCACCTAGGAAAATGCAACTCAAATAAGATATTTACGTGCTCTAGCTGTTAAGAAATGGTATTAAATTACGAGAAGAAAATTTGTAAAGAATGAAAATCAGTCAGAACAAAATGACAAGAAGCTCTGTACCTTGTAATCAAAAAATTGGTTGGTTGAATCTAGATACAAATTATCATATGGAGATCCTGGATTCCCATCTTTCCTTGGTCTAAAACTAATCATCAAACTGCAGTCCTTTGCAGTAGCAGCTATCAAAAAATCCTTCACAATCTTCAAGCTTTCATCCAAAGAGATGGAATGCAATGAAAGATATCTCTGTGACATTTTTTCTTTACCGGATGCTCTACATACCCTGCAAGGCTCCGAAACAATGTCATAATATGCATGGATAGCCCCATCAATGTCAAGATTATCAAGTTTCGTGACCTCAAGGAGCCGATCCAACACTCCAGATTTATGAACGGTCTCAGCAACAAGCAGTAGAAAACTCATTGTGCGCAAGCCATCACCTCCCTGAATAACACACTTGAGTGCATCTTCAAATTTTCCCCGAGTCACAAAATCGGTACTGTCTGCACCACCACCTAAGCCCCCAAATATTTGAGAACCATTCAAGAATACACGGAAGTTATTCTGCGGGGTTGAGAAGAGATCCCTGATAGCTTTATGTATTCTGTCCTTGGATCCAGAGAACAGATCAAGTGGATTATATTCACTATATTCTGATACCTGTAACACAGGTTTAGACATATCCAAGTCAAAATTAAACATTGACGTTTAGTATTACTACAATAGGACTCTCTTTGCTTATATTTGTGCGCAGAAGTTCTAAGATTTAGATGAGATGGAATTCCCATTGAACATATGGAACTCATTTGGCTGATTTCCGGGTAGTAAATAATTTGACCAAGAGAAGAACATAGTAAAAGCACACCTCTCCTTGATGCAACTTCAGAGCTTGGTGCATCCGAAAACGAGTAATGCTCCGTTTAATGGCATTTCCTTCATCAATGAACTTTGAGGATGGCAGAAATCCACATTTTGGCTATTTTTGGAAACAATTGAAAATAAAAAAGGAATAACTAAATATATTTCAAGGGACTCATGTGAAGGTAACGAGAAAAAAGTTTACATGACAAGCATAAAATAGAAACAAAGAACACAAACAGGGAAAATAACCTTTATCTCCACAGATATACAGGGTTCAACTTCATGAGTACCTGAAATGAATAAAGAAGAATAAACTATCACTCTTTGAAATTTACACTTAAATAAAAGTGACAATCAAATTATTAATTTATTATGTTCTGGACTGTCAGAGCTTTTTCCTAAGGTCTCAGAAATAAAACAAAACATAAAAGAAAACTTCTGATCATATCTATCACAAGACAATATTTAGATAAATATGTGCACCTACTTTTAATAAGATACAAAATTTCCTATGATTCTAAGCAGAATGCTGCTATCTCCAGGTTTCTCTCCCTGCTTCTCTGAGTTTTAGTGTAGTTGTGTACATATTACCTCATATCTTTTACTAGAAAAGTAAAAGGCAAAGGGAGAACTTTTAAGTGTTAGCAACCAAAACAGGCATGCAAAAAAGAAACCTGGATCATAGGCTAGACTAAATAAGCCATCTGACTTTCGAACTAAATTATTGACAAGTGCAGAACAGACAGTTCTAAATCTTTAAGTGCAGCACCAATTAAAATTGTAACAGAGAGACACTAATTACCACGAGGAAAAAGAGAATGATCAGACATGAGAAGCACAGAATCACATTGTGTGTCAACTTTGGCAGCATCAACTCGAGAAGCAGGACGCTGACAAATTACGTTCTTCTCAACCAACTCCAAGAATTCTTTGGAAGCAGGGACACGCATCTGCCAAAATTCAAACTGAAGGTTAAAGAACTAAACCATTTTGTACATCTTACCACATGCATGCATGACTTCACGGGAAAACCAAATGCATAACTATATTGCTGAGTATGAGGGTATTTCCATCAACACTATTGTAGCTTCCCCTTATAAGAGAAAGCTTACCGCATGACGCGGCATAAGAAATCCATAACCACTGTCTTGGACCCGGACACAGATACATACCCCATGTACAAATACAACTCAACTAAAAAATGCCTTAAAGCCCACCATAACTATTTTGAAATGATACATACAACGTGGACAAGCATCATGCATTAGTACAAGTGTAGATAGCTACATACCCCAGAATCAACGTGTGTGGAACCCAATAGAGGGCTCATGATGTGCTTCACAAACAGTTGGCAAGCAAGTTCTTTGTTAGAGGTAGCTACAATGTCCTCCGTGTCCTTCCACAGAAGACGTTCATGCACGGTTAATGCAGTGGGACTGTTCATGGACTTTGACCCATTAATTGGAGCTTTCTGTAGACGCATTACTTTCCCAATCTACATAGAGCAAGGTACAATCATTATAAGCTTCAAACATGAGAGTAAGGATGAGGTTGAGAGAGAGGATGAGAGGGGAGGAGTTACAAAAGTGAAAACAAAAACTTGAAAGTGAAAATAATTTCAAAGAGATTTCAGTTTTTCGTTTTCGTTTTCACTTTTGTTACTCTTCCCTACCATCATCCCCTCTCAATCTCATCTCCACTCTCATTCTCACTTTCATTCCCCCTCTTTTTCCTCTATACTCTAGCACAAAAAATGAAAGCTAAAAACTAAAATTGAAAAGGTTATCAAACGGCCTAAGAAATTCTTCTCTCTTTTTTCTCAGGAAGAAAAAACACATACTTTTAGATAAGTGCATAATTGAAGCTCAGGTGGTGTGCGTTTTGGAAACAATCAAAGAAAGTATGAAACATACAAAAGCGGGGGCGGATCCGCTGTAACCGAGAACAAGATTGGCAGCGCCTTCGCCTCTGTAAACCCAATCAGCAGCGTCTTTTTTCTCTAAAACAACCTCCATATCTTGGTGTTGATTAAGATTCAGCTGCTCATAGTTACTGCACAAATGAAGATTTTCAGTTTCTTTTTTCTATCCAAAACAAAAATCCTCAATGCAAGACCGAAATTTGAAAGTGCCCAATTGAGGAGATAAGATTTGCAAGAATCAGCTTGATCAAACACCTTGCAAGAATCAGCTTGATCAGACACACCTTGCAAGAATCAGCTGACACACAAAACACCGAAGTCGCAGAGAGATGATGATTTAATAGATAAGACCTCAGGCTGAGAACGCAGACCAAACAAAGAAAGTCGTTCGTAGTGGGAACTGGGAATCTTTGTTTGGACTCGAACAATTTCTTAATGGCTTATCACTGTGTCAGTGGCTTCACTTTTACCTTTGTAGCTTCACTTTCTGGGATGCTAATTCCTTTCCGCGTAATCTCACTAGTTATACCGCTTTTATAGCACAAGTATGAGACAAGCAACCTAAACCCAAAACCCACTCCGGAAAAGTAAAAGGAAAGAAAAAATGAAACTTTTAAAAGAAAGAAAGGAAAAATCACAAGAACAGGTCGACCGCGACAAGATATACGAACTTGGGTCGTTGGGCTAGGCACAACAAAACAAATTGCAGTTTAATTAATGAACTTGGCCCATTATGCGATGCATACAGAGAACAAACCCACTTGGCAACCAGAAGGCCAATTGACTGTAGAGTAATTCTACAGTGAGGACCTAATATATAGCCTTAAGTGAGATCCTATTTCTTAAATGTTGGTTCAGGCTAATCAATTTGATCTAATGGCCAATTATTTTGATCCAACGGTTAAAAGATAGAGTCATATATTAGGCCCTCACTATATAATTCTTGATTGACAGTAATTACCTTTTGTTGAGTCATTCTATGGCGAGGGTTGAGTCGTTTTATGGTGAGGGTGTCATATATGGACCATAGATGTGGATCTTCATATTAGTCATATGATTAATCTAAATAGTAACTTTACTTAAGTTTAAAGAAATGATCATGTGTCCATATATGACATCATCACTATAGAATTTCGCACCTTTTGTTTCTTAAATTTGGTGACAGAGTTGTTGGTGTCGTTTGATGTTGGTCGAGGGAGTGCTTGTGTGAATGACGTGTTCAATGGAAAGAAGTTGGTTGTCAAGCTGATCTCTCAAGTCCTTGAATTATAAATTACAACAAACCGGAAATGAGAGACAATGGTGGATTGGATGGTGCTCAAACGAAAACTTTCATGAACACAGCTGTTTGTGATATAAAATGTGAACGGTTACAATGATGGTGCTTAAGAAAACTTCAAACAAGCCTCAAAGTTTTCTTGTTGATATAACTACGTGGAGATCTAAGAAAGCTATATTTTCCTATGATAGCAAAACTCATAGTGTTTTGTCTTTACCATACTCAATTTGGAATCCTTACTTTGAAATTAGGTTACCTTTTACTTCAAAATTGGATAACAACAACTGAGAGAATTTGGAAGCCACAAGCCTTTTAACCTCTTTATATATTTACAATTACATTTTTAAATGGGTTAGACAAAAAAGAAGAAACATGAGATTATGACGGTGTCATTTAAGTAAATAAATCGGATTGCTATGTGCCTAACTTCAACTTTTTTCTTTTAGTCACTTGGAAACTTGTCATGTTGGAGATACTCAATTATAGGCTTGCTTCAATCGAGATCATTTGGATCTTCAGCACATTTAGAAGCCGTAATGACATTTTAATCAGTAACCTCTTCGATTATCTTTATTGTTGGGAGTAGTAAATGATGTTCCCCAACAATGATTAGTAAATATGTTTCACCACGTAGTGTTAATGATGTAGCCAAATCAGCCAATGCATCAGCTTTATCATTCTCTGACCTTGGGATGTGACTGACACGAATATCTTGGAATTGTGACATGGTATATTTTTCTTTTTAATGGTATGGGACGAGAGTGGCATTTCTGACTTTGTATTGATCATCCAACTATCCTGACAATTAAGTGTGTATCACTATATGCTCGCAAACAATCGACATGCATATCGAGATCAATTTCAAGGCTAATGATGAGTGCTTCATACTCTGCCATGTTATTTGAGCATAAAGTTACAACAGAGAATGATTATGGGATTAAGCCCCCGATTGCGTAAAAAAAACACTAAACATGCCCATGCTGATTATCTTGTTGATACCCCATCAAAATACAACTACCATGTGCGGGTTTCTATTGTGAATACTTCTTCGTCAGGCAAAGCAGATCAACCTTGGATATCAAGAACTCTGTAAGTGAGAAGATAATGTCGTAGAGTGGTTGGTTATGAAACTCGGACCCACGAAAAGAGTCATCTTCATCAAAAGTGATTGCTAACAGGCATGATGTGCAAATCTTTGTTGACTTAAGACATGACTTATATAGGTCGGGGCTCATCAATGCCATTACAAGTGCTTCCTTAAGCTTTCTTGACATTTGTAAAGCATAATAGATACTTAGGACCAAATATACGCTTAAGATGAGCCAATATATCATACTTAACCGTATGTGATTGTGATGATGCATTTGCTTTACCATGATCAGGTTTAGGGGCCATTGCCTTTGAGGTGGAGACTGGAGCTTCCATTGCAACATTATTTTTCGGGAGGGAGACATGGATCTCTTTTGACTTTGACTTCCTCGAGGTTTTAGAGGACTCATCTTCCTCATTTTGTTGTGTTTCATTTGTAGATGAGTGCATTAATCAAAGAAGAATGTAATCTTATCAACATATGTGTCATCCTCATATTTCTCTACAGAGACCATGTTGCACTGAATAACTTCTTCCCCGGCTACAAATTCATTTGCAAAGAACTCAGCTGGTAAAAACTCAATAAGTGTGTGAGGGACCTTGCGAGCTGTTCATAGTCATTCTTTTGTGGGACCTAAACTTTCGTTTGCGCCCACTTCTTCATTCTTCTATTTTTTAAGGATGACATGCCTCAAATTTGAACATCGAAACAAGTAGAAGATATGTGATTAGGTGGGAAGTGTTTGGCAAATGAATCTTCCATACCTCAGCGGATTTGTCGACCAATGAATCTTCCCATACCTCTAAACTTGGTGTAGTCACAAGCTCATGAAGAGTGAGAATTTGTGGACCTCCAGACAGTGGCAAATCCAAGAATTTTACTTCTAGGGATCAACTTGTAAAATGTCAACAAACATTTTGGAAAAAAGAGACTCGTTCAAATGAAGGACCAATGCTAGCATTTAGTGTTGTAATTTGATTTTTGTTTTTGTTTATTCACATGATGAGCAAATTTCCCCCTTGTTCAATTCATTCTCTATATAGATGACAATTATTATTTTTTCATGAAACAAGATAATATAATTTGTGTCTAAAAGTGAGAATAAGCAGCAACATAAATAGATGATTTGTATAAATAGCTGCTTATTCATTAGGGGTTCTTAGATCTAAGTCCAAAACGATTAGCTGTCATTGGGTCTAGTCCTCCTGTTTTTGATTTTAGATGTAGGTCCTTTGACATTTATTACTTTTTTGTTGTGTCGATTTTATCCTTTAAGGTAAATAAGTAAAATACATTGAAAATCTAAATTTAATGCATTATTTCCTTGAAATTGAATTCCAAATTTTGAATTTTGAATTTTTTTCCTTGATAATATTCTTAATATATAGATAAAATACAATTTAATCAATAAAAAGTAAAGACTCACATTAAATTATGTACCTGACATATAGGTAAATAATGTTAATACAGACAGGTATATATGTACCTACCTTAGAGGTAAGTGTTTTTTTCTTAAGTTTTCTTAAGCAGTTTTTTCTGGAGGTTCATAATTATATACATACGTATATGTCTTCCATGTAATAGTGTTTTTTTTTTTCCAAAGAAATTTTGTATGGATTTTTATCTCAGTTGAGTTTAAAGATCCATACCAAGATATTATATGAATTCAATTAGCTGGGCTAAAGGGTATAACTACCTAGACTATAGGTAATTTATGGATTTAATTACCTGGACCAGAGGTAATTTATGGGTTTAATTACCTGCATACTGCATATGAGGTGTATGCATAGGTACCTTACCTATTGTTAAGGTATGAAGTTTTTATGAACTCTTATTACAAATTTTGATGTTGGTATGGCTTGGGAAAATTTCAGAATTCAATAAATAGATTTGTAATTAAATTCAAATCAAATATGATAATTAATATCCTACAAATCAATAGCTTACCAGTTTTAGGAATTCATAATTTACCTTATTTATGTCTTAGGTGCATAACTGGAACAAAAAATAAAAAATAAAAAGAAGTAAATATCAATAAATTGAAATAGGCATATAATCTTATGTGGCGCAAAAGTCAAAGGACTTGGATCAACAACAATGTCTGCGTAGATTGCACCCAAAATCTCTCCTCATAATTGGACTTATGCCAAATTTTCTATATTCATTACCCAACAATATAAATAGATGACACTTAGAAAAAAGTCATTCTAACTAAATAATTAGCTTCTTATTCATTACCCAAAAACAACATAATATAATATTTACTTGTGTCTAAAAGTGAGCAAGAAGATAATTTATAATCTAGGTTTTGGATGGGTTTATTAATACGTGTAAGTAGATTATTATTTTTAATTATAAGAAAGTAGATTATTTGTTTACTTTCATTCTTATCATTATCATTTGTCTTTGTAAATCATTTTGTTCAAAAGTTTTTCTTTCTTTTAGAAAGTAATTTTGCCATTCAAATCTCAATAATAAATATTTATCGAAAATATCGGAAAAAAAATGTTAAATTTATTTTCTTCTTGTTGGGTGGGGCTGATGAGCACAAAATTAATACAAGTTTTATCCTTAAATTTATATTTGTTAGTACTTTCTTTTGTATTATGTAAATCTATTAGAGTATTTGTATTGGTTATTTCCAATCTTTGTTTTTGTATTTAATGAGTGGTTGTTTGTAGATATTAAGTGTCTTCCACCAATGGCATGAGGATGAGGAGGAATAAGCAATGTGTTGCAAAAAGATAGGAAGAACTCAATTTGGATTTGATGACTTTGCCTTTTACAGCTCATGCTGTACAGTCCATTTGCAGGCCTGAAAAACGAATTCTCCCATGCTCAAATGAATAAATATCCTTCATGAAATTTGTTCATTAAGATGTCGACTAACACATATCCAAATATTGGAGCAATTGGATAAAAACTCAATCCACAGGCTGCCACACACCAAGACAGGTTCTAGAAGACAGCTTGCACATGCAGCTGGAATGAAAGGGACTTCATGCTTCTATAAATAGGCAGCAACTCAAAGAATAGAAGGTAGAGAAATTCAGGAGAAACACACGGCAAGAGAAAGAGAGAAAGAGTGAGGAAGAAAGAGAACAATGATGGAAAGGAAAGAACCAAGAGCTAATAACTCTTTTAAACTTGTTCTTCCTTTCCTAGTTCTGGCACTTGTAGGCTATATATATTTTCAGATTGTTCTCAGAGAGAGGGGTGT